ATATAAATATATATTTATATTTATATTTATATATATATATATGTAAATGTATGGTATACGAATATGTTTGTATCCTTGCGTGCTCATGCCATCTGTTTTGGGCTGCTTTTTTTTTGTGGCAGCTTACAGCAGGAGAAGTTGCTACTTCCGCGTACTTTAGACCAAGCGCGAGACCTAGGCGACGTGCTGCAGGAACTACAGAAAGACAGTCCGATCGATGTCATGCTGTCTTTCTTCTTACTTTATGTCGCGTAAGTTTCTCCACCATGCACTGTATCGGAATTCATTCACATTTACTGACTCGTTAGATTGTTGATTCATCTCATATAGTATGGCGAGCCTTGGTTGTTGTACGAGACTGTATGATATTCCATCAGGGTGGTCCTTCGGCCTATGTATGACTTATGCTATGATGGTATCGAGAGATGGAATTTTACAATAAATATGCCAGATAGACATCTACAATTAAAAATAGCCTTCGCAGCATTTTTCTACGCTCGAATAATTTTTTGTTGCGCCCGCACGGAGTAGTCCACAGTCCTGCGCTGAGTGACGTTCTCGTCATGTTGTATTCTGAATTTTGTTCCCAGTCTCCAGACGTTTGCAATCCCCGGATCCATTTTTTTGACGATCCTTTCAGGGGCACTCTTCTCATTCCCAGTGGCCGTGCTCTTAGTATGTACGGTAAGTTGTCAATGTGCTGCCAACATACGAGTTGTTGAAAATCATTGCTGTCCATTGTTCTGTGCTTGATACACACGTTTCCATCTACTACAAACAGTCTATGCAACCAAACGACGCACCCGCCCACGCCAATATGTTTATACACAGACGCATATGTGCGTGGCTATTGAGAATCTCGTTGCGAAATTAATCTCCAGGCCGCTGCCATGGGAGCGACATTCTGCTACTGTCTGTCCTACATATTCGGGAAGGGGCTGGTCTTGCAGTACTTTCCGGAGAGGGTGGAGAGTTGGCAGCGTCAGGTTTGTACATTGGTTTCCGAGACATACTGAGATCTTGTTATTGTGCGTCCTGATTTTGTTGCGAATGTCCCATATTGCAGGCAATCTAAAAAAATGTTGTGATTTATTCCGACATACGCCATTCTGGACCGCGCTCAATTTTCGTTCATTGCTTCACAGATACAACACCATCATAACGACATGGTGAACTACATCATATTCCTCAGAGTCACACCTCTTCTACCGAACTGGTTCATCAATATTTCATCCCCCGTTCTACATGTCGCCGTATGGCCTTTTTTCATTGGCACCTTCATCGGTAAGTTTTCAATGGGTTCACATCGGCTACTATGTACCAGGTGCATCATAGCCCTGGCCTAAATCACTGTCAGGCGTGGCATGGGTGCCGTGCGACTCCAATCACTTCCTATAGTACCCACACACTATACCTCGATATATATCGTTGTGTAACAGCGTCTGTAGTTACTTTCACGTCACTGTCAGCTTTCTAAAACCATGTGACGCAGTCTCAAGTAAATCCTCCAAATTTATCCTCGGAAGCTAATTTGATGCAAGTATGGGCATGCATACTACTTTCTCGCGGCTATTGTGGCCTTTCAGCATAGCCGTTCTCTGAACCCACTTGGGAGTGTTCGTAAAAACTGTCCAACCTCAACCGAATGCAACCGAGTTCGAGAATATTCTTGTGGTAACGTAAACAGACTAGCTTCTTAGCACCGCTTTAGCCAGAACATATCGTCACAATTTATCCCAAAATCATTACTGCCTCAGCTACATTGTTCTATACCTATCTTACTACCTAATCCAATCCAACTTCACCCCAGGAGTCGCGCCACCGTCGATATTCTTCATACAGGCAGGGCAGGTGCTCTCGTCGCTCGGCAGCACATCGGAAGTCATCGGCCCGGGCCGTGTGGTGCTGCTGCTGTTGTTAGGGCTTGTGTCTTTGGCACCCATCATATTCAAGAAGAGATTTGCTGCGTATGGCGCGGGTCAGGGGGATAGGCCCGACTAATTCAGGTCAATCGGTGGATGCAATAAATAAATAGAGTTTAGTAAGAATCGGTAAGAATCGGGTTTCCTGGCCTTGTTTCACATTTTCATATTATAGAGGAGCATAGCCTTCTAAATTCAACAATGAGAGGAACGAGTTTTAATGGAATTCGTGTCTCAAACAGCGAATTTCTTTTTTAAAAGGAGATCAACTACGTATGGTGCGGGCTAGGAGAGCTTGCCTGCCGAGTTCACGCTATAGTGTGAGTGCGGAAACCGTGTTTAGAATCAACCAAATGACTGGAACAATACACCCGCGTAGTATCTGCTATGGCAATGAGCTATGTCGCTGGCGACTATTATTACCAAAGGGGTGCAGTTGTATTTTAATGACTAGTACGGAGATGCGGTAGGCCGATGCAAATCAACGAAAATTTCAATTCAATGAATAGATAGTACAAATCCTTAAATTCGTCGTGCTGTAGGTAGGTCACGGTACAGAAAAGCAACTTAGACTTGAATAGCTTTGGATATTTTTCCAGTCCAGTACACTTCGAGGCACCCTATAACTGGTATACTACCGAAATGCCCAGAACTAAAAATCTTGCTTCTACGTTCTGACAGAACTGTATGTAGCCCCATTAGTTTTTTTGAAATAAGCTATATATTATATGGAGTGGGTGGCAGTTGGCTGCAAAAGTTCTTTTATTTATATACCATGACCTGAGCTCTCGCCGGATACCCTGGCCTAATTAGCAAGCCACAACCTTAATGTGTCTGGTTTCTAGCAAGCGGTATAGGATAGTTTTACCTAATTCCCGCCACCTCTTCGATTTAGGATAATATCCTGATTAGGTTTCCATAGCATTTTGATCCGGCTCCGCGACCTTGCGCTTTCTTTTGAAAATTAAGCCCTCTTGCCAGAGTACCACTACGAGATAAATAGGAACAGTATGGTGAGCTCGTGTTGTGTGGCCAAATGACGAACTTTAAATCGAGAACGGAACAATTTGCTATGTAAACGAAAGATAGTGCTGCTATGCAGATTATTCGTCCTAGACTAAGCCTTAGCGACAAGCGTGCGAGTAGAATGAAACCGCACGTGCATCGCTGACTACGGCAAATGACCCACTTACTTCGTAATTGTTCCTTCATCATAGACTCCTCATTGAAGCCATGCACAAAGGGCTTCTCACTCACAGGCTGGATATAATAGGTGGAACATGATTAGTCGAACAGCGGTTACAATGAGCGAGAACTCCCTGCAAGCTTCCATCAGTAGCGTCAGTATTTGGCACACATGACAAACGACACATGAATTCCTGCCATGTGCGATTAGCCCATATTTTATAAGCAACTACACCCAATATAAGCATATACTAATATAAGCATATACTACCCATGAGGAACATGACTCATATGTATATTCGCACCTCGTCATCAGGGTCTGAATACTGCTCGAAAAACGGATGGGCCAAGGCTGCGTTGACAGTGAGACGTCGATGTGGATCGAATGTTAGCAAACCCTCGAGCAAATCCAAACCTGTGCAGAAAAGGTATCAGCCGCACAAGAGATGAGGAAGTATCCAGATTTCGTCAGTGTGTGATATATAGAGCCCTTACAAGTGTTCAATTGCTAAGAGAAAGGTGTGGACTGATCCCATTAATACCTCCGGGAAAATGCGCAGGGAGGGTCAAATGAGAGAAGATTGTTTACGCGTGACTTTCATATCCTTACTGGTACAGGCGAGTCCTCCTAGACATACGCAACAACTCCAGTGTCACAAGTACAATCAAATACATCGATACATAATCCAAAGTAGGACAGGCAAATTATCTTAGCATCAACATACAGAACTAGCGAGTGACGCACAGCATACGCACAGCTCGAGTTTGTTGTGTAGTGACATGCAGTGCCATGCACTGGTGCGTGCATGCAGACATACCCACGGCATCTGCCTTGGGATACATCTGTTGCCATGGAATCTTCTCGCTCTTCGGCAGTGCCGCGATGTAATTCCTGGCCTTCTCATTTCCTATCGCCAACAGATCTTCCTCGGTCGGCGTTCCGATCACATTCATGATCAGACTCAACTGATCGATATAGTGCTTGCCCGGGAACAGGGGCCTTCCCCCCAACATCTCCGCCAATATGCACCCCACTGACCATACATCGATGCTCTGGTCGTAGCACCGACTGTTCAGCATGATTTCCGGTGCACGGTACCATCGCGTGGCCACGTATTCCGTGTAGATGTCGCCCGTGTTCGAGTTACCCACCCGTGATAGTCCGAAGTCGCAGATTTTTAAGTCGCAGTTGGCGTTGAGTAGCACATTGCTCGGCTTGAGATCGCGATGCAATACGTTGGCCGAGTGCACGTATTTAAGCCCCCTTTTTAGTAATGGAAATTAGAACGAGGGAGAGTAAATATAAGCTACACGTGAGATCCAATGGGCCACATGAATCCCATTCCGGATTCCAGTCTGGGGGCCTCTGAGCGAGGTAGATAGCATATGTTTGCCAGAAATCTCAAGGGCATGCTAAACCAACGACAATACACTCCAGGCAGTCTTAATTAACAATTTGTGTTCTGCTAGTGTGCTTGGTATGATACATTTGAACAACAATTGGCCCGAAAAGCCGTCGGACATACCTCAGAATTTGATATACAAAATAGCATATGTGTTCTGTGCTGAGCGTCTGACTTTTAAGGAGCTTGTACAAGTCCGTCTCCATGAGCTCTTGCACTATGTATCTGATGAGGATTGGGCAAAAGGATAGGTGTCAAACCGCGTTTAAAATAGACGTATCACTTGCAATAGTAAGATTTAAAAGAAAAACGAGCCATAGACGCGCTTACAAAACCGAATAATCGATATGGAATGATCTTTCGTGAAGTAACCAGCAGACATACATCCCACATCCATTATTTAATTAAAAAAGTATCTAGTGTGAGACCGCGCTTCTAGTAGAAGTGGCATTTGCAAACTAAATAAGGCGAATGAGTCATAGACGCGGGTACAAAACCGAATGATCGACACCAAGCGATCCTTCGCACAATAAACAATTTGCATACTTCCCACATACATTTCTTTGAAGTCATCGTAGCTAGTTGGTTGAATCATGTCCAAGATGCCTATGACCTGTCGATTGGTGCATGGCCAAAAATAATGGGTAAATACGAATGCAAAGATATCTCAGTATCGCGAACGGATTCATATCGAAAGCTCAAAACAGACCGTGGTAATCAAGCGTATTGATTGAATCCTCAAACAAAGAATGCTGTGGAATATAATAGTCAGCGGCTTACAGATGTGGAGAGAACAAGACGTTGACATGAGACCTAGGAGACATACATTCTCATGGTCGAAGGCGTTGAGTATTTTGATTTCTCGAACAGTCCTCTGACAGTACGTAGTGTGTTCGAAGGGACTGATTTTCTTAATTGCCACCTGTCTGTTGTATAATGTATCGTTTGCAGAGCTACGCGGTGAAAACAGGATGATTCAGGGACAGGAGTTAGTCATATATTAGTCACTACGCGGTACCCGATGCCAAAACGGGAACTGAGAAGAAGGTATCAATGACTTACGTCGAGGATATGAGTGACAGTATATATATATATATATATGTATGTGTGTTGTGTGTGTGTGTGTGTGTGTGTGTATGTATGTGTGTGTGTGTGTGTGTGTGTGTGTGTGTGTGTGTGTGTGTGT